GGTTGAGAATCTGCCTGCCAATGCAGGGGACACGGGTTTGAACCCTGGTCTGGGAAGATCCCAGATGCCGTGGAGCAACTAGGCCTGTGAGCCACAACTACTGAGCCTGCGCATCTGGAGCCTGTGCCCCGCAACGAGAGGCCGCGACAGTGAAAGGCACACACACCGCAGTGAAGAGTGGCTCCCGCTTGCCGCAACTAGAGAAAGCCCTCGCACAGAAATGGAGACCCAACACAGCCAAAAATAAATAAATTAATTAATTTATAAAAAATAAAAAAAATAACTGTTTGACAACTAAATTGTCTAAAAACTAACAATTATATTAGTTTGTGGAAATTTAATTCCAGCTTTAAGAAAAATGTGGCTAGGTATATGCACTGAAAGTTCCCTCTGGGGAAGTGATGTCAAGAGCTTCAGAAGGAATTAACATCAATTAGCAGCATGATGAAAAACTTATTTCCCTCTGGACTACTGCAACCAAATACAAATTTTGTGTGTGTGTGTATATATATATATATATGCAAAAATATATTTTTACATTTTGAATCAAAGGGATCTTTCCTATATTTGTCTATATAGAATTAAGTACATATTTAAATGTAGACTTTTAGAACTGGAAGATAATTGAATAAATGTTAGAGTTTCTTCAAGATCTAATTTTTATCTTCTATTTTTCTCATCTCTTTCAATAGGCTCGTAAATGAAGCCCAGAGAAATTAATTTCTTCATCAAAGTTCACACAGTTTGATAGCAGCACAGACAAGATTAGAGTCTTTGGCCCAAGGTTCAGTGTTCTTTCCATTATGCCAAATTATCCCCTAATATATTAGGTACATAAGTAGGATAATGAGTGTAGTGGATGCTGTGGTGTGCTCCCCAGTTCTCTCCTCCCCCACCCCAATCACACACACATACACTCACACACACATTTTCACAACTAAAGCCTTCATTTTCCCAGTTGGTAAAAAAGTTGGCAGCTAATAGCATTCAAGTAAGTTCCTTTACAAAAAAAAAAAAAAAAAAAAAAACCTGTTCATTCATGGTTACACCCCCTTCCCAGATATTGCCAATGTCCAATAACTTGTTGATATAAGAGTATAAGGCTCCCAACCACTTGCCTAACTTGGGGACAATTCTGAGGAGTCATCCCAGCTTCCGATTTCCCTGTGTGATTATCTGAGATAGATAGTTTAATTGCATAGAGTTTAACTTCTCCCTCTGACAGACACTGCTTTCTTCATTACTCCATGGGTGTTGACTTGAGAATACACTCTAGTAAACTTTTGTTTATTGTCTCAAATATTTGTCTCAGAATCTGTTCTAGGGAACCAAACCATAAAAATAAATGTAAAATTACTCAAGTATTCTGGAGTAAATTACTGTGCTTTTTTAAGTTGAGATAGAAGTATTCAAAGTGGTTTTACTTCTAAAGGATGAAGCAAGCATCACTCAGAGAAACTTCTAGGTGTATTCACTTTATTTTGTTACTATACTTATTGTTGCTGTCATCAAGATAACTATTCTTCAGGTATAATATTAGGCATTTTATACACAGCAGTTCATTAAGTCTTAAATATAATCCTGTATGTAGATACAGGTATGAATGTAAATCTTCGTTTCCCAGATGAGGAAATTGGAGATTTGGGAAGAGTAATTAACTTGCCATGGTCACTTAGCTAGAAATTGTCTGATTCTGGGTGATTCTCTCATTAGACCTCAAGCTGCCTAAATGCAAGAGCTGGTTCTCTTATGAACAATACTATTTCCTATCACATAATATAGCACCTTGCTGTCAGTAGAGGTCAATAAATATTTATCAAATCAGCAAAGGAACCTTTATTTGTCTGACCCCAAATCCATGCCATTAGCCCCATGTGCTATGCAGTCACCCATGTACACTGTGAGCCCTAGACTTAATGATGAACATCACAAAGAACTAAAAAAAAAAAAGGAAAAGTCTAAGATGTTAAAAGCAAACTATGCTGAACAAACAGGAATGGGTGATTTAAATATGCATTTAAAAAAATAGATCATTTCATTTTGTTTCCTTTTATAGTAGATGCATATGTACCTTGTAGGATCAGATGTTATACCAGAGAACACTGAGTCTGCCTGTGGGATTGAGTCATTTGATCCCTTTCAATATGTCTTATTAAAACTATATTCAATTTAATGTAATATATCCCAGGAGGGTTAAAATGATCGCATAAAGAAAATGATGAACATTTCCCCAAATCTAATGTTAAAGTAATGGAAATGAAGTTTCCACTCATCTCCTCAGCTTTCCTAGGCAGCATGTATATAAATAGAATAGAAAGGTTTATTATCAAGATGAATTTACCAATGGCTCTTCTGTTCTGAAACGAATTTTTTTCTCAGAGTATTTTATACCCATGTTTCTGACATTTGGATGTGATATTAGGCACAGTGTTTGAGGATCTTTCAATAACTGATTTAACAGTTAAGTAAGCATCTTATAGAAGTCAAGTCACAAAGATGAAAAGAAAAGAAAATCTCACATTTCTAAGTAGGTCCAAATACTTAGCCTATTTCTTTTACTCCCAAGAAAGTCCCTGAAACACCTTCTGTAAGTCATACAATGCTTCTTTCATACAAACAGGTAACCAGCCTTACTATCTCTACTGCAAATCAAGGGAAGAGTTAAAATGGCAAATTAGAAGTAATGGAGGGGGTCTGATATATGTAAGCACAAATTAAAAACTAGAATGGCAGCTTACTACAGACATTAAGACAATTTAAAGAAAGAAAACACATGGTTAGCAAAATATCTCAATCTGAAGTCACTGAGTATAAAGACACCCTAGAGATATCCCCTAATAGAACTTAGTTTTACAGAAAATTGGGGATATTCATCTCAGTAATGATAATCTTGAAGCCTCAATTTAAGTTACAGTATGGTTCTGCATGTACTTTATTTTAGAAAAATGTGATACGTTTTAGAAATATTCCCTTGGGAATACTGGGAGGCAGAATGAATCAGTGGTTAATCAAGCAGACTGTCTATCTTACACTATCTGTAGAGTACAAACTCACTGTGTTGTTTTCTAGCCTGTGTAATGGGACTGATAGAAGCTACCTCAAGAGACTCTTGTGAGGGATAAATAAGGGCATTAGAAAAATGCTTGGCATATAATACACACTCAATAAATATATTATCTCAAGCAGATAAGCTATTTTTCATCAAATATTTATCAAATGCTTAATATGTACCAGAGAATTGGGTCAGGAGGTTTAGATTGGAGATAGGAGAAGTAGACGACTTAAGGTTGCCTATTTGCAGTACATCAGCAAGGACTTGATTTAAAGGTATGTGAGGAAAAAGAGAAAGCAAAGGTGATTTATAGATGTTGGCCTGATAGTGGTACCATTAGAGAGAAGGAGGGTATTTGGGGAAGAATAGGTTGCAGACTCAAAATCAAGTTTATTTTTTTGGTTTTGTTTTATGTCAGATTAGGAATGTTAATTAGTCAAAGTGATGATGCCGGGTAAGTAAATTAGGGCTCAAAGTAGAGACCAGGTTTGGAGAAATGGTTTTCTAGGGAACAAACAATGAAAAGTTGGGTATTTAAAAACTATGCCATTTAGATGTCAGGTACACAGAAATTTTCATTGGCCCTTCAGCACATTTTGTACTAGCCTACTGCCATGTGCTCTATTCTCCTCTCTCTTACCTCTTCCCTTTTTTCCTCCTTCTTTGTAACAACAATAAATCCTTCATTTTTTGCCACCAGAGCAATAAGCCAACTAGTTAGTTTCTATCTCAATGTATTTTTCTAAACCAAGACAGTGCACTCTTCAAGAGGAATTCTGGTGCCAGTTTGTAATCTTTGCTTCCTCCACAACATGATTCAATAAGCTATGTCTTGCTCCTGTAATTAGAGTATAAACTTCTTGTGAGAAGGCAGATGGGCCTACACTCATGGACCTGATTTTGATTAATAAAGTGCATCCAAAAGTCTAAATGCTGAAATTTCTTTTAAGTGCCCTGTTCTCTGTAGGTCATTGGAGTGACTTTTTTACTTCCTTAAATTTCTAGGTTACCACTTGGCTGATACAAATCATGATATTGATCATTCTAAAACTCTCTGAGCGTAAACTCAAGTAAATATAGCATATTAAATCCAACAAAAATGTATGGATTCATACATAGATGTTCATTACTTATTAAAATAACATGTATTCTCAGAGAAAATTATAGAATTCAAACTTAGGAAATTAGATAAACACATTTCAAAAATGCCTTTTAATTCAACTCTGAAAAGAAATGAGCTATCAAGCCATGAAAAGACATCAAGAAACCTGAAATGCATATTACTAAGTGAAAGAGGCCAACCTGAAAATACTACGTACTGTATGAGTCCAACTCTGTGACACTCTGAAAAGGCAAAACTATGGAGATAGTAGTTGCCAGTGGTGGGGACAGGAGGGGAGAGATGAGTAGGCCGAGCACAGGGGATTTTTAGGGTAGGGAAAATACTCTGTATGACAATATAATAATGGATAAATGTCATTATTAAGTGTGTCCAAACCCATAGAATGTAGAACTCCAAGAGTGAACCCTGAGGTAAGCTGTGGACTTTGGGTAATTATGATGTGTCAGCATAGGTTCATCCTGGGTAAAAAGTAACACCATTCTGTTGAGTAATGTTGATAATGAGGGAGGTTATGAATGTGTGGAGGCAGGTCTATGAGAAATTTCTGTACCTTCCTCTCAATTTTGTTGCCAACTTAAAACTGCTCTTTAAAAAAGTATTTTAATAAATGCCTTTTAGAGTAAGTTATTCATTTAACTACTCTTTACAGTAGAATTGCACTGGTAAATATAATCTCATGGAAAAGAGAAAATAATTCTATTGGTATTTTTTAAGCCTTGTTGAAAACTTATGATTTTGGACACAAATGCGAAAGCAACACCCTGGTGTGTGTGCTATGAACGTATTTTTTAAAGACATCTTTTCTTTTCCATATCTTTACCTCAGGCTACATATCGAAATCGAATTGTGAACCAAAGTCTCAGCACAAGGGACAGAAAAGCAATGCATACTCCCACCGAGGACCGTTTTAGATACTCAGCAGCGGACCAGACAAGCCCCTACAAAAGCAAGACCTGTCAGCTCTCCAGTCTATGTTTAAGCAATTTTTTGAAGGACAAGGAACTAGTGGAAGTTATCAAACACTCCAGAGGAACTTACGAAACCCTCACGTCAGAGGTCACCCAGAATTTACGGGCCACTGTAGGGCAGAACTCTCTGAAACCAATAGCTAAGACCGAAGGGCTCTCCACGTTCTCAGAGAAACCAAAGGACCAAGCTGCTGTGGCCCGACAGCATTCAACCTTTACAGGCAGGTTTGGACAACCGCCAAGAGGGCCAATCTCTTTACACATGTACAGTAGAAAGAATGTTTTCCTCCATCACAATTTACACACAACTGAGCTGCAGGCTCTAGGCCAGCAGGATGGGTAATTAAATCACCCCATTCCTGTCTCTGGGTAGGATAAGACGGTTAGTGTTTCTCGTGCATAGCTCATGTTTAAATTTTCATGTATTTTTTATTACTTTTTATTTTTAGTTATAAACAAAGAACTTTACTTTTTTTTTTAGAATGAGGGTTCAAGCATGTTAATTGAATTAGGTTTAATAGCTTTGGAGACTTTATTATATATATGTATAATAAATGAGACCATCTTGCTGGTTTATATACAGGCCATAATTTATTTATCTTTTATTTTTATCAGTCACTGATATGCATTGAAGTTTCAGAAGATAATATCAAATAGCACTCTGTTCACTTAATGGTGTTACTGTGAAAATAGATGTGCAGAATAGATAAAGCGATTGTAAGGAATTTTAAATTACATAGTTAATAGAGAGAGAAAAGAGGGATTTTAAAGTCTTGTATTTGGTGGTGTATTTATTTGAAGAATGAAGCTTGCTTGCATATAACCTAGAGATGCGTTTGTCTCTCTGTTACATACAATCAAGCTTATCTTGCCATACGATTAAGGGGGAAAGTGGTATTTCTTTTATCCTCTAAGTGTTTAGTTCACACTAGTTCACAAAGGATTTCAGACTGAGTAATTGCTAGCCAAATAGAGAATGACAGCTCTGATCTTCGAAACAACTTGCTTTTAGTTTTTGCTACTGATGTCGAAGTACTATGACATAACACAGTGAGGTGGTAATGTTGCCTGAATTTTGTCAAATGATGCGTAAAACATGACATGCTACACTCTTTGAGTCACTGTCATGGTTATATCACCATATTTTTTAAAAATTTGAGGAATAGAACATTCTAAGAAAATTATTTTACTTCACTTTCCTTATATTTTTTAATTTTTCACTTCTTTTTTTAATGTATGTCCAATTTTGCTTTATATACATTATTAACCCACATCAATTACTCTACATTATGAATTGAGGAAGAGAAAGTCAGTTTCTTGGTAGCCCAGTTTACACTATTTTGACTATTCAGTCATCTAGATTTAGAGGAAAAAGTAAAATATATGTAAACTTCGGCAGTTTGATCTTAGAAATAAATGTCTAATAGGAATACTTCACTCGTTTGATGGCAAATATTTCTCTTTAACAAACAAGGCCTAATATGTCTTATACATAAGTGCACGTGAGATAAATAATTCCTTTATGTTTAATTAATCATAGAGCTGTATGCAGCTATAGAAATAAATAATTTTAAAATGACCAGTAGGAATCAGGGCTGCAGCTTTCTTATACGAAGATAAAAGCTAATAACTGAATCCATATTAGGCACAGTCCATGCAAATTGAAATTGTCATACCTACTGCATGATCTGTTTCCCTTGTGCTGACAGAATCCATGAAATGAATAAAGGGAAACTGAGATAGCAGTTTTAGCATGATCTGACTAACTCGCTTAAATTAAAGCTATGTGTGAAATGCATCTCCTAAAGCAAAAGTGCATTTGAGCTCTATGCTTTGGGAAAAAGACATTAGATATCCCCCCACTAGCTTTAACTATTAAACTTTAACCACTTTTCAAACTTCGATTAGAATTGATAAGAGTAAAGAGTTTAGTGGATATGCTGGATTTGTAATTTTGGTTTTCCAAAGGAAAACACATGTGCATCAAGACAAATGTTTGCCAAATGTTTTCTTTTTTGTGTGTGTTTGTAATTCTGCCAAAAGAGAATAATGCACACTGCAATTTGCTTCGCTTAATGAGACTGCTATCTAAAATTCCCACTATACTTTAGAAGTTATAATATTCATGCAGACAGACATTTTGGGCTGGATGGTATTTAAGAAATGATAGAAAAATTATGATTATTAATTGTGGTATTCAGCTTCATTTGTCCTAAAAGTTGGTGTGTGTTACTAGAGTATTTGAAGTCTGTAAATAAATCAGAACGGTCAAATAATCAAGGATTTTTTCCCAGGATATGGAAGAACTATGTATCACAAATAATGTTTTTGATTTGGACTTTTGGAGCTTATAGTTTTGCTTTCCTGGAAGATAGACTTTTGAATTATACTTTGTAAAAAATAATCTATTTAAGAAAATCTGTCATTTAATAGACATTTTAAGAGATGTTTTAAATGCTAGTATTTTCTTGAAAAATCTTTTTTAAAGCTGAAACATTCAAAAAGAAAACCTGGGTTAAACAGTTCAATTTTAAAAGGAGGGGTATTTTTTGGAAATATCATCTTAAAGCTGTTTTGTATCAGTATTTTCAGCATTGTTATAATATTATTTGTAATACTAAGTGTAACTCAGGCCTGGAGAAGGTGTAAGCCCACTATGCTAATATACATCAGTAACTGTAAAACAGGGGTTCTTTGTAAGTTCCTCTTGTGTATATAGAGTACTTATGTGGGCATTCTTTCAGCAAATTGATTTCTTTGTACTAAAATCTCTAGTTTTCTAAGACAGTTCCATGTATAAAAATGATTTATACATTTCTCCAAGGCGGTACATATCCAAAGACATGACACCAGGGGGAAAAAGTGCTTGTTTTTCTGATGGAAGCAGTTGTCTTTTCTTTCCCTTCCTGTTTCTTCTGTGCATGTGTATGTGTAGCTAAGCCTAAGTAACTCTGTAAAATTTCTGCTGCAAATCTTCTTTTCTGAATTTAGAACGTGTTTTAAAGGACACTTAAGAAGAGATATTCCTTCAGGAAAAGCTGTTTCCACCTGAAATAAACTGTTCTCATTTTTGTAATTATTGGAACATGCAACTGTATTTCTATGAAGTCATTGATTTTTTTTCAAATAACTTTATATGCTAACAGAGTCACAGCAAAATTACTCTCTCTCCAAACTCTTTTTTTCTTCTTTGGAGCACCATAGTCTTTGTGCAAATGACACCATGAAACTGTAGCTGCAGTGCTAAAGGTGTGAATCTACCAATATCAATATGCTCAGGGTAAGGACCTAGGGCCACATATCATTCAAGTTGTTTTTATTATTTATTGATTGAGATATAAATAAAATAGCCAGCCACTAGTCAACAATAAACATTTGTAGACATGCCCACACTTACTTAAAATGTTTACCAAGATTTTCTTAAGCAATCTGGGTTTATGACCTGTGTTTTACACCCTGTATTTCCCAAGATTTCAACCTAGCCTATTGTCATTAATTTTCTGAGTGTTACTGAATTCAAAGTAATTAACTGAATTCAAAGAAATTTTCACATTTTATTTTATTACCTTGTGTGTGTTTAACAGAGATAACACTTCCCCTAAAAAGAGTTAATATTTTCTTTTTATTATCATGTATTTAAAGATAAGGTAAATGATCAAGATAAATGATCATATTCCACTCGTCCTCCCAAGACCTTTCTTAGTAACTTAGTTGCTGATGAATAGCAGAAGCAGTTTATTGAATGGTGACATTCATTATCACCTTTCTCATTATTAAGAAGTAGTAAGTAACCCACTGTAGTGGGTAACTTGGAATACTGGCTATGGTCTTATAGTCTAAATTTTGTTCTACTTTTCCACTTTTAGAACTTTATATTCCAAATACCTGTAGAAGTAGGAAGTGCTTCAAAACAGCACTGACAACTCCATTAAATCACCTGTAGATCAACGTGGAAAAAGAAAGGGGGATGCCTGTAGAGATGCTGTCTGTGATTGCCATTCTTATCCCTGAATCACATTCCCCACAGCCGGAGGCTTTTCCCTGGTGATGTATCCATTTAAATATAGTACTGATTCATTTGTTCTAAGGATTTTGATTGCATTTTGGAACTTGACTCTATTTAGGCTTTATTATCAAATCCTTTTATATATTTTCTTTTTTTACCCCAAGAAATAATTCACTCACACATAATATTTCTTTGGTAATTTACTCCTCCTGGAATTTAAACTCTTTTTTTCTTGTTCTTTTTCCATGTGCTAATTTTGTCATGCCAACACTAGGCTATATCTATACACATGGCAGGGATGATAGAAAATATCAACTAGTTACGTTCTTACAAAAAGTTGAATTGAGAAAATATAAACTAGTTGGGTTCTTACAAAAAGTTGAATTGCACTGTAGTATAAGAGCAAACAGCCAACTATCAACCAACTAAACAAAGCCCTCTTCTCTAACAATATACATTAGCATTGCCAAATTTTTATTTTTCAAATCTCAATCTGTGCCAAGTTCTTTCACCAATAGAATCACAAACATATCCACCAACTATTTATTGACAATAAATTTGATCTTGCTCAGAACCCACCTGCTCAGTACCAAGTAGTGTAGCCCAAAAATATGTCAGAGATCTCATTTTCCAGGTGTGTTATCTATGGAAAAGGATGAAGGCAGTTCACCCTATTTCAGACCTGAAATTTTTCCCATAGAAATTAAGACAATGAAAATTCTTACTAATACAAAGTGGGTTTCATCTACCTAACTAATCTAGAAGTGGGATATCATGGTTCCTTTTAGAGAACTTTCAATCTAGCCCCATTAACTTCACCACTTTAACAAACATACTTTTCCTCTTGAACATAAAATTCAAGAAAAAGAATTTTCTACATCTTAACATCCTTTCCAAACATTACCTCATTGCTTTGTTAAGCTCAGGTTGCTGTTACAAAATACCATAGAGTGGGTGGCTTAAACAATAGACAGTTATTTTCTACAGCTCTATAAGCTGGAAGTCTAAGATAAAGGTGCCAGCTGATTCAGTTCCTGGTTTAGATAGCTTCGTTATTCTGTTTTCTCACATGGCAGAGAATAAACAAGCTGTGGTCTTATAAGGTTGCTAATCCCATCATGGGGCCCCTCCCTCATCTAAACCTAATTACTTTCCAAAATCCCTACTTCCATGTTCCATCACATTGGGGTTAGGGCTTCAACATATGTTTGGGGGGAACACAAATGTCCAGTCCATAGCATTCATTTTCATCCTAGTAAGTTTGCTATTGTTTTACTCACTTCACAGATGAGATCAGAAACGTTAGGTAACTTGCCAGGGACACACAGCAGGTATGTTTAACTAAACTGGATTTCATATCCCTTGATCTTTCCATTTATACTATGCTTATCTCCAGAGTTAGGCTTCCTCCCAAGGAGGCAGAGTGATTCAAGCAAATATGTGCTGTCTCAATTTGCTATACTCCTCTTAAAATTCTATTGCTATTGCTAGGAAAGAAAATCTGAACAATGATCTATTTTAGCAAACCAGAAAACTACTCATTCCAAAGCTTTTCTTAGAACAATTATTGATGTTTAGATCAATAAGTATAGAATCCTGAGAGGAAAGCACTTACTATATATTTCAAGGTTACTTCTAGAAAATCTGACACCCTAATTTTCTTTCCTTGAAGGCAATTGGGAAAAATAGAAATAATTGCATGCTGTATTTTTTAAAGTAGAGAGCCAATGAAGTGTCTAGCATAAGGAAAACATACAATAAGTGAAAAATAACCTAGTTATCAGATTATCTTACTAATTCTTTCCTTCATTTTCTGAGGATATTGATATAAACATCATTGAATTTGATGTGTTTGTGTTGCCTTATATACATTTTTTAAAAGATAATTACAAAATTGATATTTGTATCTAGGGACAAAAATTACAACTGACTTAAAGTTCCTTAAATATTTGGAAGGAACTGAAATTAAATGGGAAATAGAAATTTATTTGCTCTAAATTTTTAAATACATTTTATTTTGTAGTTAATCATATATACCTAACTAATGTCTAAATAAGATATAATCCCACCATGAATTGTCTCTTCCAAAGTCTTGTTTTCAGGAATGCAAGGGAACTGGAATATTAACGTACCTAGATCCTATTTTTAAGGGAAAAAGAACTATTCAACATATTCTAATATATTTGGGTCTGAGATTATTAACATTTGTAATATTTTCTATTCTCTAAAACTAATGATTTAGTGAGAAAGATAATAAATAGCAAATTACTCTAGAAATTACAATTTTTAGTAATATTGAATGCCATAGTATAATTTCTTTCAAGGCTTTTAATTTCCCAAAGAACAGTGATTTTATTTAATGGAAATTTCACCATTTGACTAGTATTCTGAGAAAAGATTGATACACTTAAGCATGACGATTAGAAAAATATGCATAATCCCTCTGCAAAATAAATTTTAAAACAACAAATACGTTGTGTGCTACTTGACTGCTTTTATTATGACATTAATTTGTTCTGAGCCTGTCTTAGTGATAGATTGGTTTACACATGTATTCACACTGAGCATAAAGCAGTGTGATTTATTTCTAGGTTCTTGAAGTCGTGCTCATTGGGAAGAGGCAAATCAGCCACTTACTCCATCAGCTAGTTGACTTCTATTTCCACATCCTTTGCCACCATGCTTTTTTCTTCATTTCTGATATACGGTAATAAAGTACAATATCACAGAGACCACTGGGGGAATATGATGCTATCATTTCATTTTAATCCATGTGTGGACTCTCTTATTCTGAACTATATTCTTTATCTTCATTTCTTACAACTGGGCAGAATTCAAAATATATCTTAGATTGTTTTGACTTTATAATTCATAAAACTTTATTCTATGTTTTGTAACAATACAAAAAATACGAAATTATTCTAATTTCTCTCTCTCTCTCTCTCACACACACACACACACACCCAGTTTTCTAAAGTGGCTGAAAGATGGAGGATTCAGAAGAGCTACTCAAGAATTTGAAGCAGTGCATGAATATGTATCCATTTGGCATCCATAACAGCCAGTAGGGAAGAACATACACTTAAAATGCCGCTGCAATGCCTTAAAAGCATCATACCTTTAACGTTTTATGTTTCAACTCAGCAGATATTCTCTATAACCTCACAACTTCAGAGTAAATTGTGCTCCTCTGGTGTATGCTTTATATAATGTGATTTCAAAAAGCTGAAATAAACCAGTATGATACATTTTATAATTTATTTGTAATATGACCTTATGTTTAAGATTCAATCAATTTTCCTGACCACAGGAAGAGTTTCTCTTTGATTCTGAACTCTATTTTCTATAAAGAATGTCAAGAATCACTGTAATTTTTAGTTAAATTAGTGAAGGTACTAAATTTTAGGGGTTATTTTGAAGACTTTATGAAAACGTGTAACCTCCACTTCTAAATTCTGTTGGCAATCACTTACAAACCCTTTGGTTATGATTAAAATCAATCGGCACTTTCTTGTGGATGAATTATACAGATATTTCTCTTTAAAATTTCAATTGTAAAACAGTCATTTTAAAATATTTAAAATGGTGGGCTTCCCTGGTGGCGCAGTGGTTGAGAGTCCGCCTGCCGATGCAGGGGACACGGGTTCGTGCCCCGGTCCGGGAAGATCCCACGTGCCGCGGAGTGGCTGGGCCCGTGAGCCATGGCTGCTGAGCCTGCGCGTCCGGAGCCTGTGCTCCGCAACGGGAGAGGCCACAGCAGTGAGAGGCCCACGTACCACAAAAAAAAAAAAAAAAAAAAAAAAAATATTTAAAATGGAATATTGATGTATATAGTGTTTATACATTTTTTCAAAATCTCATTTTAATCTTACTTTAAATGGCTCTTACATATCTCATTCCATTTTACGCTTATTTCTCTAATATAAAAAATGCTTTGACATTTGTAGAGATATTATCAATAGACCAGGCATTACAGCATTAAATGTACAGAAGTGACACAGTAAATATCATGGTTTAAGGACAATTTGAAAATCAAATCACATTTCAGAAGATGACCATGAAAGTAGAAACAACCTTTACACAGAAAGTTAATTTAATTATAATTTAGCCAAGTGAGCACTTTGTTTGGCCTCATTTGTAGGTCTTCCCCATACCCTTAATTTCACAAGAGGAGAGAGTATTGCTTCACTTAAAAGCATTACTTATAATACACTGGTAATCATATGACCAAAAAAATAATAATGATGATGCTAGAAGATGCTTTTGCACGTTGTGATTCATTGCTAGGGTTTGGGTTAATTCTGTTTATTTTTCATTTTACAGATTCTTATACATGAAAACAGAAATATTTAAGTAAAGTTAACTTTTAGTTAGAAACCGTATTGAAGGTATTATTTCTTATGCCAGTTTGGACTCTACATTATTATTTTCTATAAAAGGAGAGCTGGACAGAGGAGGGATATACACGTAAACTCGGTCTTGAAATCTGGTGAACAGTGAAATATAACCACATCCTGGAAATTCACCTATATGGCTGACATTAATGAGTCTAAACTGGATACATTAGGTCAGAGGCTGATAAGAGTTTTATCTTTACACACAGAACAGATGGCTCAAAAGTATGTCCTGGGGACTTCCCTGGTGGTGCAATGGTGAAGAATCCACCTGCCAATACAGGGGACACGGGTTCAATCCCTGGTCTGGGAAGATCCCACATGCCGTGGAGCAACTAAGCCCATGTGCCACAACTACTGAGCCTGCTCTAGAGCCCACAAGTCACAACTACTGAGCCCATGCACCACAACTACTGAAGCCCGCGCACCTAGAGCCTGTGCTCCGCAACAAGAGAAGCCACTGCAATGAGAAGCCCGCTCACCTCAATGAAGAGTAGCCTCTGCGCACAGCAACAAAGGCCCAACACAGACAAAAATAAATTTATTAAAAAAAAAAGTGTGCCCTGATAGCTTTTAGATCCAAATATCACTTGAGTAAATTTGATAAAACTGTAGCACTATCTCACCAGCCATAATTACTGTTTTGTATTTACATTCTAAAATAAGAATATTTATTGGTAAAGAAAACATGGCTAATATGCAGAGACTTCTATGTTGCTAAAAACTGAATTTAAAGATTTTCAACAGTGTACTGAAGGACTGTCTTGTGTGTGGAAACTAAAATGAAGAGCCAGTATTTATAACTGCCTAAGAATAGACATTGGCTAATGAGATTATATTATTACCTGTTGTTGAAATTAAAGTAATAGTTTAATATCTACCTGAATTATAATAGAAAGTCAGAAAGACAATAAAAAGAATTAGTAGAACACAAGAAGTTGATGCAGAATATTTTAAGATCAACTTAAACAACCCAACATCTGATTATTCAGTGAGAGTTACATCAACCTCTACTTTCAGAAATAAGGGTTGAATGTAGAGGTTTCCACAGGAATCTTTCATAGTGAAGTCCAGGAACCAATACAGTCATTCACATCAACTCATTCACATGACAGATAAGCCTATTACATGAATCAAGATAACCATGCTATTACATTAGACATAAAATTGGAGTCACTGGAAACATGCAATTTGTTTTTGTCCCAAAGATGATTATATTCATCTTTCAAAGGAGAGTGTACAAATACTTTAGAAAGGAATTAATCACATTATTAGGAATAGGTTCAAATATTTATAGTCCTTGAACTGTTCAACTGCAGGAGGTGATAAAACACTTTCCCAATATATCTAATGGTAATATATTACGATGAACAGAAAATACTGCCTCTTATGAGTATTGGTTATGGAGTATTGATGCTATACTTAGCTGACAATCAGAGATGGCAGAAAAACGTCACTGCTTAACATTTGAGAAGTATATCATATAGAGGACGGGAACAAATACAAATGGCCAAAGTCTTTGCTATTTTGTTTTGTTTTTGTTATATTGTAAAGAGTCGGGGTGTTCCAATTCTCTCTCTCCAATAATTCCTTAATGAGATAGCAGCCTTATAAATTACCTCCTTTAAGCTTTCTCTTGACACGTGCATGAAAGCCTTAAATCCTAGATTAGTAATAATAGACCCTCAATTTTCCACTGAAATTTTTAATGTTAAAAGACCTTCTCCATGCTTTGGGGCAGGTAGAATAAAAATTGAATATAAGATTTAAAATTAATAGGGTTGCAGTCACTCAAAAAAATTTATCAACACTTTAGAGAATTTTCCTTTTTTAATTTTTGTTAAGGACAATTTTAGTATCCCTGAGTGAAGCTGTTCTGTTAATGTACTACAGTACATGCATAACCAGCTACATTCATGCATATGCAACCCACCTATATGTATGGTTCCCTACCATCTGCCAAATTGTGTGCTCTGCAGTTAGGACATAAAGACAAAATTATAATTTGCCTGTACTCAGGGGTTTAGATTATGTTTCATTTATTCACAGAGAAATAGTGGTTAGGGGCTCTGTCTAGTGACCTGAGATGGATTCTTACTGATTTTAATAATGCCTAACAATTACTGAGTGTTGTCCTATATATATAGGCAGGCACTATATTAATTGGTTAACATAACATATAAATATAAATTTAAATATTAAAAAAACAAAATAAAAACATGGATTTTCTTATTTAATCCTCACAACAAGCCTTGGTAAGTATTCATATTATTATTCCTATTTTTTACCTGTGAGAACAATAAGGGTTATGGATTTGTCCCAAGTCACATAGCCAGTGAGAGGCCTAGATGGCTGCTATAGCGGACAGTGCTGTTCTATATAAACACAGCAAAGAGCAAAATTATTCCTACCAGAGTTATTAAGAAAGGTTTCTAAACTGAGCAGTAGCCTTATATGTTAAACAGAAGTTTGAGATAGAAAAATAGAACCATTTTACCTTATCCTAGTGTTACCATACCTGCATAGCAAAGGGAAAAAGGCCATTGAATACAGACTTTGGAGTGAGAAAGCAGTAACTCTGAACCTTGGCTGCATAGCTTACTTGTTCTACAGACTTGGCAAAATTATCTAATTCTGTAAATCTTAAATTTTCTCATTTGTGAAAATGTGGGTAATAATTCCTACCACAAAAGGTTAAAGACTAAATTAGATAATATATATGAGAAAATCTATCACAATAGCTCACATTTATCATTTAAAAACTTTCTAATTAATTTTATCTACTGTAGTTATCCTACAGAATCTCTGTGAGTTCTTGGGCCATTAGAAAAGCACATGACTTTGGCAAGTCACACAAAGCAGACTTAAAAGGCACCAGTTTTCTTTATATTTGGAATATCATCACTATGAATAAATGTGCAAGCTTTTCATGATATTCACAAACCAACTCTTAGAAATAATTCTCAAGATAATTGCTTAAGATGTGGTTCACGGGAGTGCTAGGAGGAAGGGGTTAGGACTACTGTCACTGGACCAATTCACTTAT